TTTTTTTTATTGGTCTTATGGAGTATTCTAATTTGTTGAGATAGTGAGTTGGTGGGTTTTTGTTAAATGTGAGCCAAAATCACCACAATTAAAAAAACTAAAGACTTAAACTACTTCAGTCTGTGTGCATTGAATTTATTTAATACACGAGTGTCACAATTTGAGTTGAATTACTGAAATAAATGAACTTTTCCACGACATTCTAATTTATTGAGATGCACCTGTATATCAATATATATCGTCAAAAGTTCAAGAGTTGTTTTTCTTCTCATATTTATATATACACCACGATACACCAAACGTTTAAAGTGGCGTTCAAGGCGGGGCCACTTTTACTAAAATTGTTATAACTCTTGAACGGAATGAGATATTTTCACCATTCTTGGTTTGCATATGTAAGAGCACAATTTTTGGTCAAATAAAAAAAAAGTGGGGTTTGGACACTTGGTGGCGCTATAAGAGTAAAAACAATAACAAAAAGGCTATAACTACTTGAAAATCAGTATGCAGTGTCTTTGTCCAAAGTGCCATGAGTGTCTATGAGGACATTGGCATATCTCAAAAAACATGGTCTCCATCGGCCAATGAAGTTTGAGCGCCTATGGAGGCTGAGCGGAACAAAACTCAGTGGGCCTGTTTGACTCATGGCCCTAAAGGTCTGTGAGAAATTAGAAAAATCAGCCATTGGGTGGGGCTAACGAGTTTTACGCCTCTGCAATCGCAGCGTTTTGCATATACACACAATATTTATATCATATGATAGTAGGCTTGCTGTAATAGACGGTGTTGACTGCGTTAATCCTTTAGTTCAGTTAGAGAACAGACACCACAATTAAAGATTGAGATTTAGTTTCGAAACTAAATGCAAAGGCGCCTGTTTGGCAATAGTTTGGATTTTGAAAAGGCTGTTGAATTTTTCAGTTCATCTAAGGTGATTTTGTAAGTTTTTTTTTTCTTTTCTTATTTATTTGGTTCCACAGTGTTTGTTGATTTTTACTGTATTTAAAGGGTTAGTTCATCCCAAAATAAAAATTCTGTCATTAATTACTCACCCTCATGTCATTCCAAACCCGTAAGACCTTCGTTCATCTTCGGAACACAAATTAAGATATTTTTGATGAAATGTGAGAGCTGTGCATAGACAGCAACGCATCTGTAATGTTCCCAGGTCCAGAAACGTAGCAAGGACATCGGTAAAACGGTCCATGTTTTTGCGAAGCTACGAGAATACTTTTTGTGCACATAGAAAACAAAAATAAAAATTTATTTAACAATTCTTCTCATCCCAGTAACGTCTTCCGCCATTTTGGAAAGTACCCAAGAGCTTAATCGACGTAATCAGCGTTGTTTACGCTTAGGGGAACGCGTGCGTATGCATGATGATATGGAAGCATATAGGTAGCGAAATTCAATTTAAAATGCAATAACTCGTCTGGTAGTGTACATGGAGGGAGGTGAAAACCGTACCTGCAAACCGTAGCTGGGAAGTGCTGCATTTTCCAGAACCTCCTGCTGCTCATACAAATGAGACAAGGGGTCCTGCGGATGGAGTAAAAAAATAAAATAAAACAAATCTAGTTAGAAAGGGTGAGGCAGTCACACATTCCGTGAAGCTGCTCTTAACACATAAGCCGACCTGGTGCAGAGGAAACTCTGATGTGCAAGACTCCTGGAAGTGCTGGCTGTAGTTCGAGTGGATGCTGTGGTTTGCACGTTGGTTAGACGTGTTGCCAAGCGCTGTTCTCTTCCTGTAGGGGTGAGCTCTTGTGCTGGAACCTAAATAAACGTAATGCTTTAGGAAATGCAACAAGATAAAAAATAAAAAAGTAAAGGTGCATAAGACATCGCGGGTAGACTGACCTGAAGATGCGAATAAGCTAGAAGCACTGAGAAAAGGGTTCTGGGATACACCAACTTCTTTGGGAGGTTCGCTCAATATAGATGCCTTCAGGAAAAAGAGAGGATCTGAATATACAAACCTGCTTTAGATACTATTTGGCAACACACTGAAGACTAACGGGACCAAACAACAGCTCATGCCGAGCTAAAAGCAAATTGCAGCCATTTCAAAGCATTCCTCTGGAAGATCATGGCAGTAAATGTAGGCTGTGAGACAATAAGAGTGCACAAACAGGAGCAGCCATTAGTATCCATCTCACCCCTGGTAGAGTCGGCCCATCTGCTCCCAACATCCCACTCAGGAGGGGCAAATTCAGTCCCTGCAGTGCAGGGGAGGCTGCTGGGGGAAAGCCGATCGTGGTAGCTGGGGTCTCGTTCTCTCTCCCAAGAGGTCGGCTGAGGGATGGTTGTTTGATGGGGCCAAGAGTTTCACTCTGTAAGCCCAGTGTTGAAGCAATAGTGCCTGAATGAAATTAAATTTAGAACTGCACATTAAACCTTACAGCCAGTGAATCTCCATTATTTTCCCCAATTAATTACAGGGCTCCAGACTGCGACCATTTTTTCTGCCGGTGTGACTAATTTTTGGGAGTGGTCGCACTGGCGCGACCACCGCGTTGTCCAACTCATAAGCACTGCCATTTCTGTTGCATTTGAGAAACATCAAACTAAATGAAAGCGAAACTAAACAGCTGCGCAGCTCGGACCGTGGCGCAAACAAACTTGTCCGAGCTCAAAACAGCTTTACTCAGGAGCCAAAGTTGATTTCGCGACACTGTTACTACACAGATGCAACAGTGCTGCAGGCAGTGTTGCCAACTTAGTAATTTTGTTGCTAGATTTAGCAACTTTTCAGACTACCGTAGCAACTTCCCCTGAAAATTAGTTGGCAACACTGGCTGCGGGATCCAGTGAGACGCGTTTGAATTCGCCGCACAATGATAAGGTTGCTGCGAGATCTAGTGAGAATCATTCAAATTCTGCACAGAATTCTCTGTTATAAACCGCGCTGACAGTAGTCTGCACTGAAATGAATGCATTAAATCATTCATTTCAGGGATTGTACAAACTTTTGAGAGAGAAATTCAAGCACTTTTCTGACATTCAAGCATTTCACACAACTATTTCCAGCACTTTAAAGCTCTAGTTTGAATGTTATTTTTAATGGGATGACCAAAATATACTTTGTGGTAAACAAACACTTAAAAAAACCAAAAAAAAACATCACAATTATAACCAGTAGACTGCAGCAGAGGAGCACTTATTGGCTTATTAGTCATTCATTTCTACTTTTTCTCTATATTTTGAAATTATAAAATCACTATTATAAAACATCAAATCATCAAGAAATCAGATTTTGTCCAAATTTTACACTTTTTTGTGTATGAAGTAAGAAAAGACACAAAGTGCCTTGAAAAACAAACTTTTCTTCAATTTGCTACTAAATCTCACAATTACTGAAGTTTGTCAGTTCCATATACTAGAAGAATAATGGTACATTTAATAAGAGTGGAATATATACATTTTCTATATAAAAATTTGATTTGGCACCCTTTACGGTTAATAAAAGTACATTTTGTATGCATCTTAACTCAAGCTTAGTGCTTTACTGTCAAATCTGTATAAACAATAAACATTAGAAAAATAAACAAGAAATGAACATGTAATATTATTAGTAACTGCACTTAATGCAAAACAAAATATAGATCATTTAATCATAAAATTACTATCAGTACTTCCGCACACCACCCCCAGCGCTACCAAATCTGCTCCTAGCGCCACCATCTGTAGAACTTAGTGGCGCTGGTGACACTGCTCTCAAATGTTAGTCTGGAGCCCTGAATTATGAATGGTGGACAAGCAATTTAAAAATCAGATTGTTGTGCTAGACCTCCATTTGTACGTCAAATATTAAAGGCGACCTATTATGCCCCTTTCTACAATATGTAATATAAGTCCCAGGTGTCCCCAGAATGTGTCTGCGAAGTTTCAGCTCAAAATACCCCATGGATCATTTATTACATCATTTTGAAAAATGCCTATTTTGAGAGGAAGCAGAAACATGCTGTTTTCATGCATGTCTCTTGAAATGCAAATGAGCATTTCTGCTGCTCCCCGCCCCCTTTTCCAGAATAGGGCTGTTGCTTTACAGCTCGTACGCCAGATACTAAAAACATCTGTTTGGTTTTGATTATGTCTATCATGTTGAAATCATGTGTTTTAAAGCCACATTAGTTTGAACTTCTGATATAGTGTTTTCTGAGCGCACACAACCGAAGCACACGCACAGAAAGCAGCTGTCACACGGCATGCGAGTACTAAAGTTCTCTTCATGTCTTATTGCGCTTAAACTGTCAAATACACAAAAGTTTGTTAAAAACACGAGTTACAAAAACAGTCTGTTATGTCTGTGAAGGTAAACAGCTGGGAAAGAAATCACATGCTTATATTAGATGTGTGGCAGCAGCGTAATATACAGTAAATAAATAAATCCACTGCTCTTTTGTCTCCTCTGAGGCTGGGACTCTAAATAGTGTTCTGTGCTTGCCTGTGCAGCTAACGATAGAACAGCTAACATGCTTTGCTCAAACTTTTGCCATGGCACTAAAACTGGTACACCATTGTTGCGGCGCCGTAAGTGGAAACAGGCAGATAAAGGGGCGGTGATATTATAATAAGATCCCTTTGCCACGTCACAAAGGGAGCGAAATCTGACACGCTCGTTTTCTCAGACGCTTGCAGAAAAAGGCTTACCAAAACAAAGTTACTGGGTATCTTTTTCACGTTTCCTGGGTTGGTAGATGCACCGGGGACCCGATTATAGCAATTAAAACCGGAAAAAAGTCAGATTTTCATGATAGGTCACCTTTAATACCACTTTTTGGAATTAACAGACATTAGGGACGCATATAATTGTATCGTAAACTGGCAGTAGTATCAGTAGACATGTAAAAGGTAAATATGAGACCATGTACATACTGCAAATAATTCTGCTGTCTTTTCACCTTTTAGTGCTTAAACCTGTTCTGCACACAACAATTCAACATTCTAAACTTGTCAGTTAATGGTTAATAGTCAGCTACCAGTCAGGAAAATTTTATTTTTCTTTGCACTGCAGCCTAGTAAAATGATTGCTACCAAGCAGGGTTAAAGCTTGTTTTATTTCAAGTAATGAACCATTTTTAAAAATGGTTTGAGTTTATTATATTTTATTTCAAATGTTTTTTTTTCAGCTAGTTTCCAAGACAATGTGTAACTTATGTAGTTTAAATACTAAAATAATTAAAATGAAATAAACTAAAACTTTAACTAATATACATGCATACATACACACACACACACACACATATATATATATAAAACATTAAACCAACCAAAATTAAAATGCAAACTTATAACATGTAAATAAAAATGTTAACAAAACTATAATTGTATATTAATGACACGAAAAAATAAATAACATTACCAAATAAATCTCCCCCAAAAATGGGAAGACAAACTCAGACGATTCCAAAAATGTAGCATCCCTGACATTGTTTCAAATGACTGTGGAACAAACAAAATGTTACAAATGTGTGGTACCTTGAGACATCTCTCCCAACATGTTAATGCATTGTTGGAGAGGAAGAGCAGCCAGAGGATTTTCACTCAACAGTCCAGCCTGTGGAAAGACAGAACTGCATTAGTTTGACACACACACACACACATACATAATCTACTTAATTTTTAACGGTGTTATTGTATTCAAATTAAGCACGGTCCACTGCTGCACACGTGTCACAATATCGATACAGGGCCAGCTGTATCGATACTCGTATCGTCGAATCTCTGTGACAACACATAAAATGTATCGAACACAGCACTAATATACACACACACAATCCTTCAGAATGACATTGTCAATTACAACAAAATTTAAGAGGGCTGTACACATCACACAAAGGCAAAAAAACGTTTGATGAATATTCTGGCCGATACTTGAACAGAAGTAGCTAATGGGGTTTTACCAACTTATTACTTACACTCAAAGCATTGATCTGCGATGGAAGAATAATTGAACAGCTAGATGTTTGAACTAATTTGGTAAAATACCAGTTAACAATAGGGCTGTGCGATTGATCGAAAGCGATTTGAGACGTTGCGATAATATTTAAATATGAATCGTTTTGCGGCTTAATATTTACAAATACTAGTGGGACTGGGCTCACTTGTGTGTGTGTGTGTGTGTACAAAAAAAATCGCAATTTTATATTTTCCCCCAAATCGCACAGCCCTAGTTAACAATTCTTCATTTGGGGAAAAAAAGAAAAAAGAAAAGCAAAGCACACAAGCACCTCACACCCACACAAGGGAGCCACTCACACAAGGGAGAACACTGTGGTCTTTGTGCAGAATATGTGCCCAAAGAAGAGGATTCCCTAAAAGAGCTTGCTGGGAGGGGAGAAGAAGAGAGTGAGGGCTAAAACACATGCTGCTGGGACAGTGGCAGGAGATGAGGGGTGGAGGGAGGGATGGACCTGATACCTGTTGGACTTGGTTCTGGAGCAGTAGCTGCATGAGGGCAGCAGAGAGGGCAGGGTTAGCCAGCAGAGGTACAGCGGGTGCAGCTCCCAGCAGGCCTGCATATTGAGAGAAGAGTGACAAATCCACTACCTGGATTAGAATAAAAACCTATCTTAAAAAAAGGCCTACAGAAGAAAAACGATGAGCATAAGTACCTTGTTTATGCCCCGGGTTGAAAGACGCCAGCAGCATCTTCAGTGTGGCAGGGTTATTGAGGCCAGTTAGGATCTGCATGGCATTGGGTTCAGGAAGGAGACCTTTCCCTCTGTTCAAAGCCTGAAGAGGCAAAGGATGAAATTTACACAAAACTGAGTTACACTTTATTTTAAGGTGTCCTTGTTGCAGTGTAATTATACATTTAAGTACCAAGTAGTATTAATTAGCTACATGCACTTACTATATGGTTAGGGTTACGATTAGGGTTTGGCTTAGGGGTACTTGCATGTAATTATGCAAATAATTAATTGTTATTATAATAGTAAGTACATGTAACATGTGCAACAAAGACCCCTTAAAGGGTCTCCACCCCAAAATGAAAATAGTCATTAATCACTTACCCCCATGTCGTTCCAAACCCGTAAAAGCTTTGTTCGTCTTCGGAACACAATTTAAAATATTTTGGATGAAAACCGGGAGGCTTGTGACGGTCCCATTGACTGCCAAGTAAATAACACTATCAAGGCCCAGAAAAGTATGAAAGACATCGTCAGAATAGTCCATCTGCCATCAGTGGTTCAACCGTAACGTTATGAAGCGACGAGAATACTTTGTACGCAAAGAGAAAACAAAAATAACGACTT